TTCGCTGGCAACTTTATCACCCAATACGTGTTACGTGTTATCTCGTCGTCGCAATGTTCCCTTGCATTCCTAGGGCGCAGACACGTTTACGTTAATAGATCGCACATGATCTCTCGAAAGCTGACGGAAATTTAAAATTCGCGCGTGATAACTGCGATATGCTCGATCAACGAATCGGCGCGCGCGCGCGTGTGTATGTGTGTGTGTGTGATTCAAGCGAATCAATTGGCTAATCGAATTAGGAATGAACGTTTGGCGCGAAATAGCGCGGCGAATCGTTCCAACAACGCCCTTCAACTACATCTCGACGATTATTTAGTCGCGCTCGATCGATCGTAGAGAAATCGTGGCAAATTCGCCGAGTCGAATGGAAACGATCGACTCGATTACGTGGTCACACACGTCGAGTAATATAATAATTTACAGGCTGCAATCTTCTCACTTGAGACTTGACTTTGAACTTTCGTCGAAACGAATCGCGTCTTGGAACGAATCGGCGAGCGGTTTCGTAAACGCCTCGCAAACACTCGCTGCATTTTTCGATCGGTAAATATTGAGCAATGTTCCTTTCAATCTTGCCACTGTCCGTCGAAAAATCCATCTTCTCCGCTGAGGATTTCCATTTCCAGGGATCGAAGAACTCTCGTTCCGATGTAGTGGAAAAAACAAAACCCCGTTGAGACCGAGACGCGTTCAACGACACGAGATAAGGATGATATCGTTCTCCACCCTCGCGTTTCCCATCCGAGGCGTTACATCTTTTTTTCTTTTTTTCTTCCTTTTTTCTCTTTTTTTTTCTTTTTTTCTTTTGTCCGACGAAAGCTACTTAGAAACGTACGAAGAATCTTTCACACACCGTGACTTATAGGTATAAATATACGGAGAGATATAGCTTCGTTAGCATTTTGCACGAGTTCGTACCGTTAGCCGACTCTTAGACAGGAATAAATGTTCTCTTCGGAATATCCGACGTGACTGCGTATTACGCTCGCCTGGCTTCCCTCTATCAATCAATCTAACTCTATTCGCTTAAATACTCGTTTATATAGAAATTTCATATCACCTTACCATCTGGCGTTTCGTGTATATAAATTTGTCGTCCCTCTTTCGTAGGTGGCGTAACTATATAGTTAGTCATACGTATGCGCGATAATTCGACGACCACGATCATCATCGATCGAGCGACTGAGATGATCGGCTTTGTTCGCTTTATTCGAGTTATAGCTTGGAGAGCTTGACTCTCGAGGGGGAAACGCGAGTGAAGAGGGGGGGAGAGAGAGAGAGAGAGAGAGAGAGAGCGACGATGACGGGGAGTCGTGTCGTTCGTGTCGTCGTGGTGGCTTTCACTCCCCATTTTGGCACAATCGTCGCTGCCACTCGGCCGACACGCGCCTCGATGATACATACTCTTTGCTATCCTGTCCGAGGCAGGACAACTCGATCCGTTCGTATCGTCAAACTTCTCTTACTTTTAAACGAATCGCGAGGAGATCGCTCTCAGTCTCGTTGCTTCGTCCCTCTCCCCCCGCGATTATTTTATGCGTGCGGATTATGCGTTCCGACATCAGAGAGAGATTTCGCTTTTCGTTTACGATTAGTAATACTATATATATCGTATTGTTAATTATGATAATCGATATTATAAATTACGCGTGACTCGCTAAGTTCTCTACGCTGTTCTCTACGCTGTTTCCAACCGGCGAGATCTCCTCGCTCGCCATCTAATCCTTCGACGACGACGACGACGACGACGACGACGACGACGACGATCGACGATCGACGCTCTCGTTTGTTTTCTTTTTCTCTTTTTTCCTTTTTCGTTTGATCTCTCGCTGCAACGTGAAACAACTCGGCAGCGAGAGTTAACTCGCGAGCACGACCTCGGCGGCCACTTTTACCCTCGCCTCGAGCAACGAACGGCTTCTCGGTCACAGAATATCCGTCTCGTAGATCTTGCTAGTCGTGGTGGTCGTGCTCGCGGCGTTGGACATTGCCGACGCCGACGCCGTCACCGTCACCGCGGTGGAGATCGTTGCTGAGCCGATCGCTGCCTGGCTGCTGTTAGATTCGTTAGAGCTGGTCGTCGTGGTCGACGTACCGGTGGCGACGCTCGACGCGGAGACGTTCACCGTTATCGTCTGCTGCTGCTGTTCGTTCGACTCCTCCTGTCGCGCACGAAGCCCGTCCACGGACGACACCTCCTGGACGACAGAAGGCTTGACGGTTAAACTGGTCAACGATCCGGAGCTGGCAGTGCTCAGTCCCAGGCCCATCTTGGCCAACAGATTGCTCTCGGAGCCCGTCTTCTTCAAAAGATCCGGCGGCGCGGGTGGAATGGTCGTTAGACCGGCGGTGTTCCTCTGCAGCTGCTGCAGCCTGGCGTACTGTTCTTGCAGAGCCTTTTGTTTACGCAGCAGTTCCTGATGCCGCTGCTCCAGCTGTTCCTGCCTACCCTTCTTGCTCTGCAGGCCCTCCTGCGAGTTTACGCTCTCACAGGAACTGGAATTGCTGGTGGAGAGCACGGCCGACGACTGAGAGCTGGTCGAGTTGTTGTGAAGCACTGTCGTCAGGTTGTTGGACGACGCCGTCGCCGCCACCGCCGCCGCAGCCGCCGTCACCGCCTCGAGCGCGGACGTCGGAGCGCCGCCGGGTTGTTCGGTAGAGGGTAGAGCCATCGGAGGCTTGCCCTCTTTGACGGGAAGAGGAGTGCCACGCGCCGGTGGCCTTCGCAGCGTGGCGTTAATGCCGGTCTGTAAATTGTAAGAATGGTTTCTAGGTGGTAGCTGAGGACTGGTCGGGCTAGCCAAGGGAGATCTGGAGCTGGTGCGCGGGGGCGGAGGCGGCGGGACTCTCCTGGCGCTGGCCAGCTGGAGCAGCTCCGCGTTTCTCTCTGGCACCGGTGGTTTCTGCCCGGGGACGAATCCCTGCGGCAGCGTGGGTAGACTCGGTTGTTCCTGCAGTGATACCTGAAGTCTCGCTATCGGCGGCGACGTGTCCGTGTCCGAGCTAGACGGGTAAGAGTGCAATCTGCGAAGCGTACCGCCGGCGTTTGCCGGCCCAGGCCCAGGCCCAGGCCCAGGCCCTGTCGTCACCGTCGTCACCGGCGTCACCAGTGTCCCGACGACACTGTTCGCCGTTGGGCCGCTGAACGTGCCGCTGAACGAGTCCACGCTCCCTTTCCTGCCTATGTCGGAGATGCACGGCGGCCGAGCGGTGGTCGTCGACGACAGCGCCATGGACGATCCAGCTGCCTCTCCTCTGCTCCCTGACCTGCCCAGCTCGGAGAGCATCGTCGTGGATCCTTGGGTGGTGTGGCCTTGCTGCGAGCTCGGCCTCGAGAACGTCTGCAGCTCGTCTAACAGAGCGTCGAGTGCGTTCTCCGGACGCTGCTGATGGGCGGCGGGTGGCTCGTGAGGGTGGGACCCTCCCCCGATGACGCTCGCTGACCCCACGACAGTGCGTTCCGCTGGCACAGGGGCAGCTGCCTGCGTCCGACACGTGCACACCAGACACACCGGTTATCAGAGACTGGCCCCTTTTCGGTCCCGACTACACGCGACTACACGCGACTACACGCGAGTATATCGTGTGGTTTTGTCGTGGTGTATCGCGGTGGAACGCGAGATCATCACCGAGGCATCGAGCTGCTATCGATATCTCGCGGCGATAGCCTCGCCCTCGGCCTCGCCCGCGGCAAATGCTGGCTCTGGCTCCAGCGATCGTCGAAAGCGTTGCTCGCGCTCGAGGAAGAAACGGCAGAAACAAACGACAGACCGATCGACGACTTTCGACGATGCCGACGCCGACGCCGACGCGGGGAACGTCGTCGCAGGCGGCGGTGCGTCCGTGTGACTCGGGATCCAACTGTGCTTTCGTGCTTTCTGCAATGTACATAGCGATTCTCTCGTTTTGAAAAAAGTACTCGTTCAGGCACTCTGTACATAGAGTCTGAAAGAAACCTGGAACCACCATGTGTATGTGCCTCGTGTCGGGTGAAGAGGAAACGTACGACAGGACGCACCGCCATCCAGCGACGATGAATCGCGCGAATCGATCATTCGCTTATCGGCTACGTCATGCCAGTAAAAATAGTGACGAATGTGCGCGAATATATAAACATATATATTTATATGTTATATATATATATATATGTT